ACGACTTCATTGAGTTGATTGACGAAGCCACCAAGAATTGTGACGGATACTTCCCGCCGGCAGTCGTGCACTGTTTCACGGGGAACGAGGAAGAACTAGACGCGTACATTGCCCGTGGCGACAACTGGTACATTGGCATCACAGGGTTCATTTGCAAGCCACAAGGAGCTGCGTTGAGAGAAAGGCTGAAGCACGTGCCGTTGAACCGCCTTGTTCTGGAGACAGATGCGCCGTACATGGGGTTCCCCAAATGTCGCCGTGCTGAGGTGTCCGGAAGAAAGAAACAGTATCCAAATGTGCCCAGCGCCATGCTGCTCGTGGCTCAAGCTGTTGCTTCTGCGCTCGGTCGGTCACCGCAGGAGGTTGCGAAACGAACGCGGGCGAATGCACGACGCTTTCTCTCGCTGCCGATGAGCTAGTGGAGAGAGCTCGACACCTTCGCAGGCATTCGTAGACTTCGTGGATGGACTTTCGTGTCAGGGCATGTGGCACGTGGCTGCAGCATGGAAGACGCGGACTCGCTCACCCAGTCCTCTATCTCCTTTTTATCTCATTCATAGCGTCAAGCCTCTGTATCAACTGTCTCTAGGGGGAGTGTTGTTAAAGGCAATAATGCTCGGCACGCGCGTGTCCGACCTCCGTGAGCTCCACTCTGCGACCGCGTTCTCCTCCTCGGCACTTTCGCACTCGCTGTCCGTGCTCAATATGCTGCTCGTCGACGTCGAGTGGGACGACGCCGCTCTCGGTTTCGTGCACTTGTGCACAGCCTCGAACGTATCGTCCCTCTCGATCAAGAACCGACTGATGGCGGCGGCAATGACTGCCACGCTGCGCTCGTCGTTCGTCACTGTAAAGTCCCAGGCAAAGCTCTCGTAAAAGTCGAGCGTCTTGTCCATCCACTCCCGTTTGTGTTCATTCAGTCGCAGCCGCTCGGGCTCGAGCGCGACCCGCGCACAGATGCGACGCCATAGTAACTCGCGCTCGACTTGCACGTGGACCGTGTAGAACTGCACGTGCGCAAAGTCCTGCACTTCTTTCACCTGGGCCCGAATGACCGGCTCGAGCAAGCGGCCGTTGGCAGAGTAGAGCACGGCACTGAAGGGCGAGCGGTCGGCGATGAACACTTGCTTCCTACTTGGCTTGACGCGCGCAGCGAGACGCAAGACCCGTTCGAACCAGGAGCAGACCCACGACGTCTCCATGAGCAGGGACTGCGGGTGAAGCGCGTACGAGGGCATGTCCATGAACGCCTCGTCCAGGATGGCGTACCCCTGCGCTTCAAACTCGGCGCAGAGTGCACTTTTGCCGCAGCCTGAGGGGAACCGCGTGGGTCGAACGCGTCGGGACGGGAGTCAAAGGAGGAGAGAGAGAGAGAGAGCGAGAGAGAGCGAGAGAGAGAGACGTAAGGAGACGGGCATTGACCAGAGGCAACAGAGTGGAATCGAGCGGAACGGAGCGAGAAGAGAGGAGCGAATGCACGTACCGTGGCAGCCTTCGAGCGCGACGACGACGAGTTTCGGAGCCGACGTCATGTCTGTGGTGGGTATAGCCGAATGCTGTGGGTCCATCTGGCGGCCAACGCAGCGCTGGATCGAGCGCAACTGACGACGGAAGGAGCACTCGCGCCAAAAATCTACTGCCCCGACATAGATCGACTGTAGCCATTCACTTTGCTATGTGCGAACCCGCGACTCGGTCCACGCGACGCGCGCGAGCAGCAGCTGGTTCGTCTGCCGCTTTCGCGCCAAAAACGACGGCCTCCTGGAGCGATACAGTCAGTACGTGGAACGGCTTTCCATAGAACGCACCCATGTACCACACAGTCAGTGCCTTCTTGTTGGGTTCTGCTGTCTTTCGTGCCTTCTAGTTGGGTTCTGTCTTTAGTGCCTTCTAGTTGGGTTCTGCTGTCTTTCGTGCCTTTTGGGCTGCTGCAATGCGCACCAAAGCGTTTCAACCAGCACGTCATTCGTACCGCAAAGCTATTTGATAGCCGGTGGGGGTGGACCCGGTGACGGAAAGTTACACATTCCGTCCTTCGCACACAACAAGTGCGTGGGTGTCTGTCTGGGTGTCTCTCGCCAGGCTCGCAGTCGATTGACCCACAAACCGTCCTGCAGTAGGTAAAGAAGCCACGTTCAATAAGAGAGAGAGAGGCAGAGAGTGTGTCTGGCATCACTGCGGGACATTCCCGCGCGCTAGAGACATGAAATTGCCCAATGACCGTGGCCGATTTTGCCGTGCATCTGTAGCCATCTATAGTGTACCCATGACAACGATTCGCCGTCCACGAACGCAAGTACCGGAGGACAGTCCGCCCCGCCATTGATGGTCTTCTGCGGCGCCGACTTCCACGTGTCGAAAGTCCCAGTGGCGCCCACCGCCGTGCGAACGAAAGCCGAATCAGCAGTTAATAATGCAGCCAGGAAAACGTCAAACATCCGCGACTTTGCCACTGAGCTGAAGCAGCGCCTGGAGCCGACGATGGGCGTCGGGTGGCATATCGTCGTGGGCGGCGACTTTGCGGTGGATCTTCGCTACGTACGTAGACGGACTGTCCAAACGTGGGAACGACATACATCGTAACGATGTTGTGGTGTACGCGACGGTGTGTTTCAATGATGCAGCGTGAAGGCGCATGCGTACTGCTGTTCAGCAAAGTCGGCAAGATGAAGGTGCTCCTGTACCGCACAGCACCGTCCGTCTCTCCTCGACCAGCCGCAGAGCACGAAGCTCTGGCACGAGAGAGTAGCGAACTCGTTGCTAAGACAAAGGTCGTGGTACTAGACAGCGATATGGAAGACGAGATGGCGAATGCAGTTATGCAACGGACCACGAGACTTTACAGTCACTTTGTAGCGACGGGCGATAGCGAAAGCAAGATCGCTGAATCCCTCAAGGTACATTTGTAGAGTGCGACGTTCTATCAAGCGGATGCGGCGACGAGTGCGATACCACGTTACTGACCATGTGCAATGCTGCAGCACTCGCTGACGTTCACGTACGGTCCGACGTGGCAGGTGGTCGTAACTTCCTGTCGTGAGTTTTGCTGTCTGCATATCGCGGATAAGGGCTTGCACATTGACTTCACCGTGTCAAAGCTGCGTGTTGTCGTGTACCGTCACGCTGGCGCGAGCTTGGACCGCCAGCTGGATTCGGCGCAGCTTGGCAAGCGTGTCGCGTTCGTTTTGGCCATGCTATGTATGCTCCTGTACGTGTTTCTGTCCTTCGCTTCGTCCGAGACGACTACGAAATGTGAGTCACGCAGCGACGAAAACCGCGCAGTAGACGGGGTCGTCTTACCTGAAGGTTGCTCGTCCACGGACGTGACACGCGCGAACGACCACGCGTGGTGGAAGTTTGCTGCGATGCTGGGGATGGTGGCTTGTACGATGGTGGCGTCGCTGATTCGGATGTACGCCAAGTCGCTCAGTCCGAAGATCAAATGTGCATAGGAGCAAACAAACAGTGCTGTGGCTGAACGTGCATTGCCGCAGACGTGCTGAAGTCGACGCCATCGAGAGCAAAGGTTCGAGTGCAAATTTGTCCACCCTAGAGAACTAAAGCAAAGTCCGCGAGCATCACCCGATTTTTGCAGGCATTCTTGTCGACCGCTTGCCTTCGAGTGACCACTGCACGTGTCACAAGAACGCACATCGAGTCGTTTTGCATCTCGGGGAAGCAGAAGCACGAGCACAAGAACTCGTGTCCACAAAATCACGTGTGTCTGATGACAGCTGTCGAGTTGCGCTCTTGACTGCGCTGTGGCGTCTAACGAGACGATGCCCGCAGTTATGTCTGCCTTCTACGGCTTCACTGAGCTCGACCCTTTGCCACACTGCACCAGTGTACTGCGTCAAGAAGATACACGTAACAACTGACGTCGTCCTTATCAGACACTAATTTGTGCCTAGCAAGACATATCCGTACCGCAATAACATATTGCCAACTGCCTCGGGACCTGTTCGAGATCAGACCGGACTTTCTTCGTACTTCGTGAGCAGAAGCGTCCCGTATCCTGTGCTGCAGTACATTCATGCGTCCAGGCGCTGTTGCGATAGAGCATGGAACGAGGTCTCGGGAATGTGTAGACTGACGAAGTCGAGACCCCGGGGCAGCCTACGCTCGTGCTGCGGTTCAACTCACTGGCGGGCAACACGACGGTGGAGGCTGATGCAATTCCACGAAAAAGGGCAAGTGCGTCAACAAAAGCAGGTCAAGGTCCAGTTACGCGGGACGACGCCACACTTCTACAGTCACGTGGTACGGGGACGTCAACTGAATCCGTCCACAGGAAGCGTGTCACTGACATCCCCACGTGGGATCGCACCTACTCATGAGCAACGAAGGGCGAGCACCGCAAACGAAGGCACGGGATGGCAAGTCGTGACAGCGCCTTATAGGCAATGCTCCATTGCCTTACCATATCACCCATCATGCACGCCCCGACTTACCCGTATCGATCCCACGCGTACTTGCCCTATTTTTCTTCTGCCTACGACATTCATCTCGACGCAAGTACGGTCCAAAGCAAACGAAACCTCCAAGTGAGGTCGAGATGGATCGCATCCTGCGCCCATTCGTTTGCCTTCCAGCTCTCGTTTAGCGCGTCTACGTGAGAGGCCGACCTTTGACAAGTTGGTGGGAAGTACAGGCGCTTTCTGCACACAGACATTCCCGTGCGAGCGTCGAGTTGCCCCGACCAAAGCACTGGCGACCGCATGCAGTCCATGAGAGACAAAGCTGCTCCAGGGCCAAGTCTTGAGGGTTCCTCGCTCCGTCGCCTTCCTGCAAACTCGCAGGTGTCGACCACAAATTGTTCCAGCGGCACAAGTGTCTGCCTGCTGTACAACTCGGAATACAAGAGACAACTCGTCTTGCGCGGGGGAGTGACTCCATGCATCGCAGTGGAAGATCGCAGCACATTAATGGAAAGTGTCAAGCACATATCTCTTTTGCGAGAGCTGCAACGAGCTTGGGCTCATTGCTGGACACGCTACTGTTCATCGCTTCACTGACTCGAGTCGCATCATGAGAGGGGTCATCATACCGAGCGAAATGCCCTCTGTGTAGGCGACCTTCTGACCAGGCTCAGGGACCATGAAGAAGCGACCGACGACACTCGCAAGCACGACCTTCATCTCAATGAAGGCCAGAGCTTGGCCGACGCAGACACGAGGACCGGCGCTGAACGGAGCAAACCTGGTCGCACTCATCGGCATGACGTCACCTGTGTCGCTGTCGAGGAACCGCTCCGGCCGAAACGCCAGCGCATCTTCGCCCCACACACTTGTAAGACGTCCGGCAGAGAACAGTGCAATGCCAATGTCCGTCTTCGCGGGCACAAATGTGCCGTCTGAGAACACAGTGTCTTTGACGCAGTGCGTGGTAATCAAAGGCGCTGACGGGTACAGCCGGAGGAGTTCGCGGATGCAAGCCTCGAGGTACGGCACCCGGTTGACGTCCTCACTCGACGGCGTGTAGGCCATGTCAGAGCTCAGATCAGGGATCTGGGCCAAGATCTCGTTGCGCAGCTTGGTCTCGACCGCAGGATTCTGGCTCAGCATGTGAATCAACCAGCTCATGCAGTCGGCAGTCGTGTCTCGACCGGCGATGATGGAGGCCAAAGCGATGTTGCGCACTTCCTCCGGGTCCATCGCCAGACCTGTAGACTCCATTGTGTCAAGCACAATGGACACAATGTCCTTGTCGGGATGAGGGGCTGGCTGCTCTGCTCTCTTCTGCCTCGCTGCGCGCAAGCGGCGACGCTCAACGGCATCTGCAATGAAGCCCATCAGGTGCTCATCAATCACGCGCACGTCTTCCCTGAGCCTGCGCTCATCGCCCACATTGAGCCATCGACGGAGCTTCCAGTACCACACGGGCTGCTTGAAGCGCTTCCCGGCGAGAAACTGCGCCTCGTCCATCGCTCGTGCGAACGGCTGGTAAGCTCCGCGCATGGAGCCCATCTTGGCACCCAGTCCGATCTCGCCAAACACGTCGAACGTGAAGCGGTGCAAGAGGTCACACACATCAAGACGAGTGCTGGACGCTACCGCGTCCGCCAAGATACCGACCAGCTGCTTGGTGTACTGCTGCACGAGCGGAGTCATGTGCTCACGTAGCGCTCGAGCACTGAACAGCTTGACAACGACGTTGCGCTGACGCTTCCACGTCTCGCCGTTCGTCAAGACGATGCCGTGGCCCAGCAAGTCGTAGAACACGTCGTGGATGTAGGTGCTCTTGGGAAAGTGGTCAAAGTGCGTCTTGAGCACAGCTTCGAGGTGCTCGGGCTTGGCGATGCACATCACGTCGTCTTTCCCGGGGAGACGCACCACGAACGCCTCGCCGTCGGTGGCAGCAAATCGATCGGCCAGCCAGTCGTGCATTCGCGGAGCATTGGCCGCGAGTTCAATGGCGTTGCCGAGCAGGGGCAGAGTTCCCGGCAGAACGACGGCGTGCTTGACCTTGTCGCCAGTAGCGTTGGCGGCAGGGGCCTTGTCCAACTTGGCCCAGCACAGCGTGAGGAACACGGCCGCCGACACGAGGCTTAGCACCTCGGGAGACGCGAACAGCGCCTCGAGCATTGTCCAGTGGCTGGCTGCTGGCAGTGTACGCAAGTGACAAGTCAACAACTGTCGTGAGGCCGACGATGGCAATGGGCGACGATGGCGACTCACTCAGTCCATCAAAAAACGGGGCGCAACAACGTGATGCGGCACCGTCCGCAGATGATCCGTTCGCTCGCACGGCTCTTGCCGATCACGGAAGTCAGATGGAGGTCTCTGGTTTGTATCTCCATTGATCGGCAGCGCGCGCGAAGAAGCGTCCGCGACGTCGCGCTGAAAGAGTCTGTCTGCCACCCGATTTGCTCGACGCGACCGACCGCTTGACAGCCCGTTCGGAACCGGCCATAGGCAATTGTGTGGCATTGTGTGCAGCAGCAATGGCCACGCTGTCAGTCAGCTCAGTCGGATGAAGATGCAGTTGCTGTGTGGTGTCATCCAGACGGACGGCGTCACAGCTGACAACACGAGGAACTCGAAGAGGAAACGCTGAAGCGCGTGTGCTGTTTGATACCTCATCGATGGAGTGTCAATGTCGTCCAACCGCTTATGCCCCAACTGCTCGTTTCAAGCTATACGACCGACAGCTGGAGTCTTGAACGCGAATGGCCTCGACGCGCATCATGAGTGGCGTCTGCATGCCCAGCGTGATGCCCTGTGTGTACGCAGGCTTCTGACCAGCCTCGGGCACAAGATGGAAGCGACTCAGGATGTTGGTCACGACGATCTTGATCTCCAGGTACGCTAAATTTCGGCCGACGCAGCTGCGCGGACCGGCACTGAACGCGCAGAACTTGCACGATGACATCTTCAGGACCTCGCCCGTCGTGGCGTCAAGAAAGCGCTCGGGCTTGAACTGCAGCGCGTCTTCTCCCCAGACAGTCGGAAGACGGCCCGTTGTGTACAATGCGATACCAATGTCCGTGTCCCTGGGCACGAACGTGCCATCAGGGAACACAGTGTCGCGACTGCAGTGCGTGGCGATCAACGGTCCAGCAGGATAAAGCCGTAGCACCTCACGGATCGTTGCCTCGAGGTAGTGCACCGTGTCGATTTCCTCCACGGATGGCACGTACTCAGTTTCGGTGGCAAGCTGGGGCAAGTGCTTTAGCAATTCCGAGCGCAGCTTGGCCTCCACGATCGGGTTTTCACTCAACAGGTGGAGAAGCCAACTCAAGGCATCGCCAGTTGTGTCCCGACCAGCAATCAGTGCGGCAGTAGCGATGTTGCGCACCTCAACTGGATCAACGACCTGGTCTTTCGACTCCATTGAGTCCAAAATAATGGACACGATATCCTTAGCATAATCAGGTCTGCCTGCGTTGCCCTTCTCGATCGCTTCTTGTCGTTCTCGACGACGCTGAATCGCACACGAGATGATTCCCATCACGTGTTCATCGATGACTTGAATCGCACGACGCAGCTTTCTCTCACTGCCCACATTCAGCCAGCGCTTTGTTCTCCAGAGTAAGTCGGGCTGCTTGAAGCGCGCAGAAACAATGTAAAGGGAATCCTCAATTGCCGTGGCAAGCGCTTGGCCACATCCTTGTAGCAACTTTGTCTCCGTACCAAAGCCAATCTCGGCGAAGACATCGAGCGTGTAGCATTGCATGAGACCGAAGGCATCGATTGGCTGCTCCGACGCCGCCGCGCTTTCGAATATCCTGCGCAACTGCACCACGTACTTCTGAGACAAGGGCGTCATGTGTTCACGCAAAGCTCGAGCACTGAAGAGGTTCACAAGCACTCGTCGCTGGCGCTTCCACGTCTCGCCATTCGTAATGACGATACCATCTCCCAGCAGGTCGAAGAAAACGTCGTGAATGTGCCGACTCTTCGGAAAGTTGCTGAACTGCGTCTTGAGCACTTGTTCAATGTGCTCCGGTTTGGCAATGAACATCATATCGTCTTTGCCAAGTAACCTCAACGTAAAGGGCTCGCCATGGCACGACAAGATGTGGTCGGCTATCCAGTCGTGCATTCGTTCCGCGTTCATCAGCAGGTCAATGGTATTGCCCAGAACGGGTATCTTCGATGGCAGAAAGCGAACACGTTGTTTAGCCGTCGCTTTGTCATTGAGCTTTTCTTCGTATGACGCTGTCGGTGCATTGGGGGAAGTGCTCGTGTAGTAGAGGGCGGCAACGACAGCAGCAGCAACAGCAATGAAGCTCGGCACCGCTAAGTGGAGCCACCACATCTAATCTGTGAGAACGGATTGTAGCAGAGACTGCGCTTGGATGGCGATAAGGCTGCGATCGAGGCGGCCACTGCCACGTCCCCTTCGTTGTGTACTGAGTTAACAACTTTGGCTGTGTGTACGTGACGGACGATACCGTCGAGATGCGCTCTAATTGCTGGAGCGACGACGAATAGGGATAAGTGGAGCTGAAAAGGCGATTTGAAATGCAGGTGAGATGTCAGATGTGATGTCAGGTATGGGAGGCCTCTGCTTTTTGCATGTTTCGTACGCTCGACAGACGATGTCTAACCTCTAGTGAGTTGGAGCGGGCTACACAGTGGTGTCAGCATGTGGCTGCTCTCAATTACATTCGTTTCGTCGGAGCATGTGCGACAAGGCACCTATCGTCCACACTGATGCTGCTCAATATATAATTAACTCTGACGACTGGATCGACAGATGCCTCGGAGGTACGTGTAGACTATCGAGTAGAACGATCGACAGCAAACTAAATGGCAGTACACTAAATGGTAAGAGACTATTGTGTGTGGTAGATATAAAGACTAAACTTTCATCTATAAAAGCAACTTTGAAGTATATCTGGAGACAACAATGTACTCCATCGTTGAGCTCGCCACGCATGCCGCGTGTCTGTTCATAATAGATAACATTATTTGCTAACTTAATAACCCATTTGACGTTATGCGCTGCGTTCTGCAAACCGCTGCCGCAAATGAACTATGACGTTAGGTTTTATGTATTTAAATGCGCTACGATACTGTTAACATTGACTGAACATTCGGTGTCAGTGCCATGTAACGTAATACCTCACTACATCATCTCATCCTTGTGATATCGTCTTACTGATACCTGTCATTGGCATACAAGACCCCGACCTATTCGTCCATTTTGCAAAGTGGAAGCACGTACAGTATCATTCATGCCAGCTAATCTCACAATTATGACATGGTCATCAACTTTTGAGCAGTGCGCACCGCATCTCGCTCACGCTCATCGCGTGGCAACAAACGGTCACATTTAGCGTCCACGTATTGTCCTAATACTCGGTCAAATCGAAATGCTAGCTCGCCCTGATGCAGCTATACGTGGTTATAGACGTATAGGTCATGGTCTCGACCTCGGTTTTGTCGGCCCGGGCTAGTCAGATATTCTCCCATTTTAGATTGACTGTATACACAAAAGATATTCCACTTCAGCCGGTACTACGTAGACGCTGATGAACATATAGACGTGCCCTGCCGTGACAATTTCGCGAGTGATGATAAGTCAGCGCATAGTGCGAATTAAATGACTCATCAGCCCGACTTAAATGGAAAGAGGTTTTGTCTACCACTACGGATTTGCCTGCACCTAGCCAAACGGTCGAGCTTAAGGATACTCTATCTCATTTTTACCTTGTCTAATGTGTCGAGTGACTCGCATCATGAGGTAGCTCATTCGAGCTCGCACAGGCCAAACGAGGGAGATCGACACGACGATGATGTGGTGATATGCGTCAACGCTTTTGGTGCGACCACAATTATCGCAAATTCTTTGTGCGAGATGAGCCCGCTACATGATAGTGACACCTCAACAGGAAAGATCGATAGGAATTTAACCTAAATTGTCAATATTACCCAACAGTACTTTTGCTAGTAAACATTGAAGCAGCATCATCTTCGAGTGTGGCATTCAGCAACGCGCCAAACGTTGGATGTTGTAAAACACTGTATTTACGAGTTATAACATAAAGCACTGCTTGAAGCGCACAAGCATTGGTAAAAAGATGCCTGCTAGGGATTTGCAGCCTAAATCAGAACGCTGGGACTATATCTAGCGTGAAATGCTACTTGATCATATCATCGAATAGCTATATATATTCCTCATTTTATGCAGTTCATGCTCCGATTTTTTTACCCTTCACCTGCACGTACAGTGAACACAAGGATCTGGGAGCACGCATTCTTGCACTGTCATCAGTGTGAGAGCCTTACCATCTGCGGGAGAGTGAATATCTTTACATTCGTGATGTTGGTTGTTTACGTATATGAATCCAGGAGACGAGCGACAGCAAGTTCTTTGTGTCGTCTAAGGTAGAAAACACTTAGCGTTTTGACAGCGATATTCATTTTGTACATAATGGCGATGACGAGTTTAATATATGTAAATGGATCTCCTCGGACATACTTCAGCGAGATTATCCTCAAATTAATAATTTGAATTTAATGTCACTTTCCAAGCACTGCATTTTATTTGTACAACAATGTCTTCCATACGAATACATGATACATACAATTTCGTAGGTGTGACGAAATACGATAGTACAAGCCCAATGCGCGTTTTTACACAATTTATTGTGCATTGATAGCGGATGATGGGATGACACAGTAACGATTGCTTACAATAATTGGAGAGGCGAACACCTAATACCAACTATTTCTAGTATAAACTTGCATCGGCTAACCTAGAGGAAAAAATGTGTGGTGTCTCCTTTTAGGCGTAACAATCGAATGCTACTAGCAACTATAGATGCGGCAAGAACGCTTTCCTCAATTAGGTCTTTTGGTAAATGTATTGCACCGCATTATAAAGGCAATGAAAGATTCTTCTCCTGAGCAATACAATGTTAACCCTACATCCGCCTATTCCTTCACATAATCTTTGATTTCTATCACTCCACAATAATAACGTTCATCAGCCATTGATGAGAAAGCAATTAAGCACCTGCCTAAGAGCCGACCTAGGGTCTTTTTCATACCACCTCTTTGTTGCTAAATTTATAGAGTCACGGTGATGAGATAACATTTCGTGACTTAGCACCTGTATGCCGCGCGAGTCAAAACTAGTATGTTTGTGCATAAAAATCGTGGGAAATTTGACAGCCGCTGTCTGTAGGATTATATTGGTTTATATTGTTAGTGAATCAGTCAGAAAACTAGAAAAATTGCACACAATGAGGCTGGATTATCTACTTGGCGGTAGCAGTTCACATACATAGACGTGTTAGACCTATAACATCTTGTATATCGTACTTGCGGCAGTGATTGATCAGATGAAGGGGATCGTGTATAATGTTATACGCTTACATATTCGACGTGTCAACCGTGTAGAATATGTAAGCAAATCAGATATGCGCTGAATCACCGGCGGTACTCATGATAAAAGTATAAAAGCTTAGGGGATTGTTTGTCATGGCCACATTTGTCAACATATAAATAAAATTGGTCGAAATGTTCATTGTTCAACGAAATTACCCTGTATCTATCAGTGGACATTATCTTTTATCATTGGCTTCGGCATTTTCATCAACTACCGCTTCAAGGATCAATTTCTGTATGGAATAGACCGCTGATTCAAATAGTTTTTTCTAATTCGTCGATATAATATTGCTAGAGTGCTCTGTGCGCTACAAGTACTCTGCTGTGACACACTTTCCTTACAAAGCGATAATATTGTATTTTGTTATTTTTGATGTAGACGTTTCTAGTCTCATCACCAATGTCATCGATACGTTTATTTGCTCATAATTACGTTATCTAATTTTCAAAAGTAATAGTGTCAGAATTGACAACTTTGCGGCGACATATATGTCTACGCGTAAAATTAAGGATAAGGTTATTGATTGCTCCAGTTGGATTTAATGTGAGGAAGGTGTGTTACTTTTATCGTGCTGGCGATTGATGGAGTAGACTGGGCTTCACAATTAACTCTATTTTTCGTTAAATGTCTTTTCCTATTCTGTGATGTTTTGTCAATTATCGCTTTACGTAACGCCGTTTTTGTGTCACTGAGTAGATCTCGTATTGTTTGTGTGGGTGCATTGCCATATAATTGTCCATTTTTTCAAAAAATAATGTCATAACTCAGAATGTAGACATTTACGGAGTCAAGCACTCACTTTACTAAGATACAATGCCCTGAGGCGCTAGTACACGAAATGGTTGAGGGTAGTTTATGCAAACATTACCACTTCAACTCTTTTAAAAGAGTACGGCCTTAAAAATTATAAAGGATGCGTCTAACTGTGTATTTGGTCTTTCCATTAATTTCAGGTGATAATACGTGCACATATACAGCAATGTCTAAGTCCACGGAAAAAAAGATCGCCAAAATTTGCCGTGACTTGTTTTTCTTGGTATAGAAGTATTACATGCTCAAAAATGACGCATTTATACATGACGATCTATGAAAGAGCACATCTCTTTCTATTGATTCACTTTTAGACGCCAGAAAGATGTGTTATGTTTCTAATGCACTTTGAATGATAACAATAATTGCTCTCACAGTATTATAAATATACTTCACTTATTTAAATCTCATTTAGATACTATAAAATTACTTCAAGAAAAGTATGTAGGATGTTATGGTGCACGAACTAAAAGACGAGAGATTTAACTTTGACATACCTGGAACATTGATTATTTGTATTTGCACGCGCTGGACCAATAACACTAGCTAACCCTCTTACCAATGTTCGCATAATAGACAGATGGCAGGGTAGCACTTTAAACGACTGGCGAAGCGCTTGTCGATTGCAATGATTTGCCCACGATGCATCAGTCACTGATTATTACAACAGTCCTTGACGGTCTCACTTCAGATGACAATACATTGTTATGTAGAGTAAGACCTTACACGGCATAGATGTACACAATTAGCTTAGGTTTAATCGAGTAGTAGTGGCAAATATACTTTTTTCAGTACAGTTAGATGTAGTTTGTCTATCGTTTACCAAATTGTTCTCATCGATCACATGACCACATAAAAAAGTCGAACAGATTATAGACAGTGTGTGCTTGGCATTAATTAGAATCAAAAAGGATACATGTAACGTGGCCATCCTCATCGATAATTGCGGTGACGTGTTTGCCTTATCTTTCGCAAAAAAATGCTCAATTATAAGATCTAGCGTTACCAGTAAGCAAAATGCGCTCTAATATAAAATATGCTAAATTTTAGGTACGCACGTACGTGTGTTTTATTGTTATGTCGTAAAATGATACGTTTATTTCAAATTT